CCAGTCCATCCCAGTCCACCCCAGTCCATCCCAGTCCATCCCAAACCCAATCCAATCCAACTTTTCCAGTTTTTCCAGTGCGCCCAGTGCCCAAAATACCCAAAAAAGCCCAAATTTCACCCAAATTTCACCCAAATTTCACTCAAATCGGTCTCCCAGTATTCCCAGTCCATCCTAGTTCATTCCAGTTCATTCCAGTCCATCCCAGTCCAATCCATTCCAAATCCAATCCAATCCAGCTTTTCCAGCGCTCCCAGTACAGAAAATACCCAAAAATATCCCCCAAAAAAGCAAAAAAAAGCCCAAATTACACCCAAATTTTGCCCAAATTTCACTCAAATCAGCCTCCCAGTATTCCCAGTTCATCCCAGTCCATCCCAGTCCATTTCAAACCCAATCCAATCCATCTTTTCCAGTTTTTCCAGTGTTCCCAGTGCCCAAAATACCAAAAAAAGGCCAAAAAAAGCCAAAAAAAATCCCAAATTTCACTCAAAATGGTCTCCCAGTATTCCCAGTTCATTTCAGTCCATCCCAGTTTCTCCAAAATCCAATCCAATCAAATCCAATCCATCTTTTCCAGCTTTCTCAGTGCTCCCAGTGCCCAAAACACCAAAAAAAACCCAAAAAAAATCCCAAATTCCGCCCAAATTTCACCCGAATTTCGCCAAAATTTTGCCCAAAATGGTCTCCCAGTATTCCCAGTCCATCCCAGTACCTCGAGGCGCTGGTTAAACTGGGCTTTGAGCTCGAAGTAGGGTCAGCCAGTGCCCAAAATACCCAAAAAAGGCAAAAAAAGGCCAAAAAAAGCCCAAATTTCACCCAAATTTCACCCAAATGTCACTCAAATCGGTCTCCCAGTATTCCCAGTCCATCCCAGTCTATCCCAGTCCATTCCAGTCCATCCCAGTCCATTCCAGTCCATCCCAAATCGAATCCAATCCATGTTTTCCAGTGCTCCCAGTGCCCAAAACACCAAAAAAAAGCCCAAAAAAGCCAAAAAAAGCCCAAAAAAAGCCCAAATTTTACCCGAATTTCACTCAAAGTCGTCTTCCAGTATTCCCAGTCCATTCCAGTCCATCCCAGTCCATCCCAGTTCCTCCAAAATCCAATTCAATCGAATCCAATCCATCTTTTCCAGCGCTCCCAGTGCCCAAAACATAAAAAAAGCCCGAAAAAAGCCAAAAAAAGCCCAAATTTCACCCAAATTTCACCCGAATTTCACCCAAATTTTGCTCAAATCGGTCTCCCAGTCCTCCCAGTCCATCCCAGTTCATCCCAGTGCTCCCAGTACCTCCAAAATCCAATCAAAGCCTTCGTTTTCATC